TAGTGGACAAAGAGCGACTGGAACGCGTGACACTAACGCCATAGCGTTGTATCTTTTAGAAGCAATTGGGGGCATTGGTACGAGGAGGGTAGAGTTGGAATCCTATTGTGAGCTGGAGTCTCCAGTATATAATACTAATTATTTTTCTTTGGTTTATGTCGCATTCTAATGTCTCTAATACTTTCTTATTTATGAATTTTTTGCATCTTTAAATATAATACTTGAGTACTATATTCATAAACTATAATTGTTAGGATCTCTTGTTTCTTCTTTATTAGATCTGTTAATAGGTTTAGAAACACTACACTTATATTCTGAATATTGTTCACGTATTATATATTTATTTCACACCATTATATGTTCTTTATAGTGAGAACATATAACTATCTCTTCTGTTGATCTGATATAATAAAAATATATTTTTTGCTCTATTGCATATGTATATATATTGCATTGCTTCTCTAGGAAACTGTGAATAATATGTTTAGACACATGTCCTTTCGATCCTACCTTTTATATCTGATAATGGGCTTGGTATGTTAAATATTGATTACTGTTTTGATTTAGTGCGGAGAAGTTGCAGCAGATGTACTACTGCACGATTGGGTGTATAGGCCCTCTGCATGATCTGGAGTTGGAGAGGTGAGAAAGGGATAGAGGCACCCGTGTTTTTTTGAGGCAGGAAGTAGTTCCTCCAGAGCCATTCTTAAGCGATGACGTGCTAAAACATGTGTGGGAGGGAGCGCTAAAGTTGAATGACTAGCAATTTCTTTTTGTGTTCGATTCAGAGTAGTGGTGACTCGCGCTCGAGACGCTTCGATACTGGCTTGTTCTGGTAAGAGCGATGAAGAGCAAGTGTGCTCGAAATATTGAGTACGTCTGTAGCGCGATGGCTTTAGTCAGTTGGGGCAGAAGTGCAGGACGTTAATGTTCTCCTGTGCTGTGTGAGGTTTTGGCTTCGAGAGACTGAATTTCATATTGGTATATTCTTACTGATACAGCTTTCTTACATTGTCATTTTTATAATATTACTTATTAGATGAATCGAATTTATTTTTCTTTATTAACTTATTAGATAGAAGTTTAACTCTGATGCATATAAAGAGAGTATTGAGTTTTTGTTAGTATTGTATTGAGATTGGAAGGAAATTTATTTTGTTGAGGTGAGAAAAATTTGGCGAAAAGAAAAGAGAGAGAAGAAGATGGAAATAAATGGTGAAAAAGATAAGACAAAGAGAGAGACAGAGAGCAGAGAGGAAAAAAAAAAAGAGGCGAAAATAGGTAAATAAGAGAGAGAGACAGACAGAAAGCCCATTTGAGCGAGGAGAGCGAAGAGAGAAAAAAAATAAGAGAGGAGAGTAAGAGAGAACAGAGAGAGAAGATATATGAAAGAGATAGAGAGAAGGGCGGGGGGGAGGAGATAGACGAGAGGAGACATAGAGAAAAAGAGAGAGATAGACAGACAGATAGAGAAGAGTATGAGTCAGAGTGAGAAAAAGAAGGCAGAGCAAGAGACAGAGAGAAAGAGGAGAGCCACGCGACAGAAAGAGTAAGAGTGATGAGAGAGAGAGAGAGAAAAAAGAGACAGGACACAAGAGAAAGGGAGAGCAGAGACAAACAGAGAAGAGTGTTATGAATAAGAGACGAGAAGGAGACGAGAGATTAGGAAGCGATGAAAAAATGGGTGAAAAAGAGAAATGTTCAAAAAAAAAGTAGACGAACATCGTTTGTTAAGGGATCGATTTAAATCGAAAGGAGCTCGATAAATAGAGAAGCATGAGAGTAATAAGGAGTAAGCTGCGAACATTAGTAAGGGAGAGAGAACGAAGATCGGTGCAGAGATTAAACGAGAGGTGAGAGAGAGAGAGGAGAGAGGCGACTGAGGAGAGTGCAGTGATGTGAGGGAGACGAATTAGATTTAGGTTTTTTTTGGTTCTAAAAGATTGGATTTTGGGGCGCCGGGAATGGAAAAAATGGGGAACCGAGCGGGCGGGATGGAAAAAAAAAAAAATCACATAAATTAAAATATTTAAATAATAAAAATAAATAAATAATCAATTTATTTTCTTTCGTTATTAAGGTTGATTTTGTTTTCATATATTATTTTAATGAAAAATATTTTCACTAAAATAAAGGTTAATTTTCTGAGTCAAATGAAAAATATTTTCCTGCGGTCATTTTTTTTTATTTAACTAAAAAATCATAACTAAATTTTTTGTAGTAGAGGAAAAGGGCGGCAGCAGTAGTGAAGGTGAGTGGAAAGAGTGATGGGGTGTGGTGGCGGTGATGGGTGATAGGTGATGGCCGGAAACAGTATTTAGTGTGAAAGTGTGGGGTAGTGGTAGTTGTTAATGGAGTGGCAGGATGAAGAGAGGTAATGGTAGTTAGTAGTGGTAGTGGTGGTAGAAGAGTGGTGGCGATAGTAGTAGTAATGGTAGTCGTAGAGGTGAAGTGGCTACAGTAGAAAGTAATGGTGGGTGGTGGAATGGTGTTTGCAAGTTTAGTGGTAAGGTGATAGAGGAGATGCGGTTGGTGAGAGAGAGAATGATGTGAGAGACAGATTAGAGAAGAGACGAGAAGACAGAAGTGTATGAAGCGAGAGAGAGAGATTAAAGAGAGAAAGAGATATAGAGGAGATAGAGAAGGCAGAGAGGGATGAAATTGATAGAGAGAGAATATAGAAAAATAGAGGATAAACAGAGATGAGAGAGACATATTAGAAGAAGCGAAAAGAGATGAACGATAGATAAAGAATAGGAAAAATAGAGAGATAAGAGAAGAAAAGAGATGAGCAGAGAGAGACAGAGAGAGAAAAGAGAGAGAGAGATAAGAGAAAGAGAGAAGCGAGGGAACATGAGAAAGAAGACAAATGAGAGAGATTAGAGAGAAGAAGATGAAACGAAAGACCAAGGGACAAAACAGAACAAACAGATAGATAGGACCAAACAAACAGAGAAATAAGAGTGACTGAGGAAAGGAGAGAAAGAGAATAGTGGTGTAGTGAATGGCATTGCATAGTGGTAAATTGTGCGTAGAGAAGCCATGGCGTAGTGAGAGAAGAAAGATGACGGAGAGACGAATAGAGAAAAGAGATAAAGAGACAGAAGTGATGAGCGAGAAAGAGGACAAAGTGGTCGCTAAAAGTGGCATTTTTCTTGTTAGTGACCGATAAATCGATAGGAGCTCAATAAATAAAAGAAGACAGATAATTCAAAAACTTGTTCAAAACTTAATTTCAAATCAATTTTTTTTAAAATATTTTTTTAAATAATTTTAATATTTTAAAATATTTTAAATATTTTTTAAAAATTAAATTTTGTGGACGAGACAGGATAAAGAAGACAGATAGAGAGAGAGGACACAGAGATAGAGTGCAATGAAACGAAGAGAGAATAGACAAAAGTGGGTTGCCAAAAGTGTATTTTCTTATAGGTGGATCGATAAATCGAGAAGGAGCTGATAAATAGAAAGATAGGATGTAAGCAAGTGAGCAAGTCGAACATAGTGAGGGAGAAATTAGGACAAATAGACAAGTAGAACACAGAAGAGAAAGGATTGATGAGTGATGAGAGAGACAGGGAGAGGAAAGAAAAGAGAGAGAATGGAACGATAGAAAAAGAGAAGAGAAACAAGAGATTGGAGCGAGAGATAGACAAAAAAATACGAGAGAAAATACGAGCGAAAAAGAGATGAGCGAGAGAGAACACAGAAAGGAGAGAGAGACAAAAAGGAGAAGAGAAATGAGCGAGAGAGATAGAGAGAGATAGAAAGATAGAGGAGCAGAGAGAGAAAGAGACGAGAAAAAAAAAAGGAAATTGAGGGGGGGGTTGAGGATAGAGAAAAGAGAGAATGAGAACTGAGAGAGACAGAGGAGAGAAAACAGATGAAGAGAAAATAAAGAGAATAGAGATAGGCCAAGAGACACAGAGAGAAAATGAGAGAGGAGAGAGAGAAACAAGCCAGACATTAGAAAGAGAGAGAGATAGAGATAGAGAGAAATGAATGAAAAAGAGATAAAAGAGAAGAGAGCGAGAGATAGAGACAGAGAGACAGGAAAGATGAAAAAATGAATGAAAGAGAAATGTTATATTCAAAAGAGGTAAGACGACATTTATTTTTTTAATTTTTTGCGACAGGAAATAATACCGTTGAATTATTCAAATCATTTTGCTGACTGTATATATATGAAGCTAATCTCAAAAACCACAATCACCGAAAATCTTTTAAAATTCACTAAATACCAAAAATATAAAAAAAATACATAATCAATATATTTTTTTTTTTTTTGTATTTTATGTATTTATTTAATTTTTTAAAAAAGACTATTGGCGACGGTATTTTTTGCCGTCTCAAATAACATTTTTAGCGACGGTAAAATAGGGCCGTCGCAAAAAAGTCAAGACATTTCAAACGTTATTAGCGACTGCACGGTGCCGTCGCAAAAAGGCAAAAAATGTCGTCGCAAAACATTAGCGACGGCACTTACCGTCGCAAAAACTCTTTTGCAACCCCTGCAATTGCGACCCCCCTCTTGCCGTCGCAAAAAGTCATTTTGCCGTCGCAAAAAGTATTAGCGACGGCATTAGGAGTATTAGTGACGGTATTTTACCGTCGCAAAAAGTCAATTTTTTTGTAGTGTTTGTAAAATATAATTTTATGCAATGTTCTCAATCCTTTTATGCTTTATTACAGCCAACTGTATTTCTGCCTTCAGACGTGCACATTGGAAAACATTTTGGAAGTCTTTACTCATTCTGACCTGTGTGATATGCTAGAAATTGCATATTGCATTTCAACTCTCATTTTTAACTAAAGATGTATATGGTGTTTAATTACTGAACCTAGTTAATTGAGTGTTTCATAGGCCATCTCAAGAAGCATTAACAAGAAAATATTTATTTATATGCGAGTTATTAACAAGGAATTAAGAATGAGAACACCAAATTACTAACAACTAGACAGATTGGACATAAGTCAAAAGTTTGACATTCCTTGACAACCTTGAGTAGAAAGTAAATTGATGCTGGAATAACAAGTGCTCCAGTTGCAATCACAGCATTCAAATGCCTCGAAAGCAGTATCTGCATACTGCACATGAACAATATCAAAAACCCAAAGCAAAAGCATAGAATGAATTAACAGTATCACAATCATGTACACAAATTTATATGGGATGCTAGTACTTCTGAAATAAAAAAACACGACTGACTTGACTTCATTGTGAAGCTTTAGTTCTTTCTCTGACATAAAATAGTTATGTACTATTCGCTGACATGAACCCCCAAAACATAGGCAGTATGGACCTAACATAAATTAGGCATCTGCCTAAATCAGAATATTAAATGGATGCAATAATTAAGGACTGGTTCAACTGCTTAGAGATCGCCATTCAACCAAATCACAAAAACACACGAGTGGCTCAAATTATGTAGAGTCTTCTAGTTGTGTTCTTGTGTCACAGATCAAGATCGTGATCACTTTTAGTAGATTGTTAATGTGAAGATTCTATTTGAAGAAGAGCACACCATAAAAAACATTTGACCTAAGGCAGACGCCAAAACAGAAAGAAATTAAGAGAAAGAACTTTCCAATGATGAGATCCAAAACTAAGCAGTAAAGGTCCATTAGTAAATATAAAACACACAAACCTTTTCCATATAGAACAGATTAAGTAAACATGGAAAATTGTTGATCAATTAGTTATAAGCAAAATTTATGGGACCAATACAAGTGAAAGCAAGAGATTGCACTTACAGGAACGATAAATTTTTGGCCCCCACGATGTAGTTCAAATCTCCAAAAAATACCCTACCAACTATGGAGTACGGGCACTCCAAAAATAGTGCCGTACACGCACTGGGTACTTACCGGATACGGGTACGCGTACCGGTACGGCTGCACGCGTACCGGGTACGGCTGCACGCGTACCGGGTACGGCTGCACGCGTACCGGGTACGGAAAAAAGTGGTCGGGTACGTCTGCCTCTGTTGGGTACGACATGGGTACGGCTCGGGTACGGCATGGGTACGCCTTTGGTGCGTTTTGGGTACGGCAGGGGCAGAAATCAAATTTTGTGAAGAATTGAGGGATATCGGAGCAATATTAAGAAAAATTTAAAAAAAAAAATGTATATACGAATTTGCCCTATTCTCATCACCCTCGACTTCGACTTCTGCCCTAATCTCATCGAAGCAAAGAGGCAACTTCGACCATCACCCTCGTCTTCGACTTCGACCCAGAGATTCGACCATCACCCTCATCTTCGACTTCGACCTAGAGATTCAACCATCACCCTCGTCTTCGACAGATTCGACCATCACCCTCGTCTTCGACTTCGACCCAGAGATCGACTTCGACCCTCATCTTCGACTTCGACCAGAGATCGACTTCGACCCTCGTCTGCGACTTCGACCTAGAGACTTCGACTTCGACCTTCAGAGAGGTATAATCTCTTCATCTTTATTTATTTTTTTTGTTTTTTTTTCTTGTTTCTTGTTTCTTCTTTATAATTTGATGTTGATATTGGGAACACAAAATAATCAAAAATTATAATCGACTTCGACCCTTTTTTGTGTATAATCGACTTCGACCCTTTTTTTTTAGTTTTGATCTAATTTATTAACCCTCGTCTGTGTTCTAATTTTTTTTTCTCTAATTTATAATCTGATGTTGAAGTTAATTAGATTAAAATTAATTTTTTTGATTATTAACATTATCTAACTTTTTTTTCTTCTTCGACCAAATTAACTTTTTTTTATTAACATTATCTAATTTGTCTTTTAGTTTTATAATTCTCTTTTTAGTTTTGATATTTAACTTCAATTTGTAGGTTTGATCTTTTAACCATAATTATAAAAAATAAAAAAATAAAAAAAAAATATCGGCGTACCGCAGCCGTATCCGTACCCACAAGTGAAAGCATGAGATTGCACTTACAGGAACGATTAATTTTTGGCCCCCACGATGTAGTTCAAATCTCCAAAAAATACCCTACCAATAATTGGAAGAACGTGAGATACAACCAAAAATATATATATATATATATAAAGAAAAATCACTACATAAAATGGAATAAGTCCAGATGAACTCCAGATAATAACAATTCAAGGATATCTAATCTATGGAAAGTTATGAAGCACGGGTACTCCAAAAATAGTGTCGTACACGCACCGGGTACTTACCGGGTGCGGGTACGCATACCGGTACGGCAGCACGCGTACCGGGTACGGTAAAAAGTGGTCGGGTACGTCTGCCTCTGTTGGGTACGACATGGGTATGGTTCGGGTACGGCATGGGTACCCCTTTGGTGCGTTTTGGGTACGGCGGGGGCAGAAATCAAATTTTGTGAAGAATTGAGGGGTACCGGAGCAATATTAAGAAAAATTTAAAAAAAAATGTATATACGAATTTGCCCTAATCTCATCACCCTCGACTTCGACTTCTGCCCTAATCTCATCGAAGCAAAGAGGCAACTTCGACCATCACCCTCATCTTCGACTTCGACCCAGAGATTCGACCATCACCCTCATCTTCGACTTCGACCTAGAGATTCGACCATCACCCTCGTCTTCGACAGATTCGACCATCACCCTCGTCTTCGACTTCGACCCAGAGATCGACTTCTACCCTCGTCTTCGACTTCGACCTAGAGACTTCGACTTCGACCTTCAGAGAGGTATAATCTCTTCATCTTTATTTTTTTTTTTGTTTTTTTTCTTGTTTCTTGTTTCTTCTTTATAATCTGATGTTGATGTTGGGAACACAAAATAATCAAAAATTATAATCGACTTCGACCCTTTTTTTTTAGTTTTGATCTAATTTATTAACCCTCGTCTGTGTTCTAATTTTTTTTTCTCTAATTTATAATCTGATGTTGAAGTTAATTAGATTAAAATTAATTTTTTTGATTATTAACATTATCTAACTTTTTTTTCTTCTTCGACCAAATTAATTTTTTTTATTAACATTATCTAATTTGTCTTTTAGTTTTATAATTCTCTTTTTAGTTTTGATATTTAACTTCAATTTGTAGGTTTGATCTTTTAACCATAATTATAAAAAAAAAAAATAAAAAAAAAAATATCGGCGTGCCACAGCCGTACCCGTACTCTACTTTTTTGGGATTTTGCCGTATCGGCGTACCCGTACTCGTACCCGCACCCGTGCTTCATAGGTTTTGACCCTAAATATTCAAATGTTACAAATTACAGTGCAATCAGGGCAGCTGAGTCAACTTACATTTTGAACTGGTTGAACTGTGAAACAGGCTATCAAAATATGTGGATGGTAATTCCAGTTCCAATTACAATTTTTAGCCATTCTTGTTAGTACTATAGGACACCAGAAATCAACTCCACACAATAACACAAGAATATTTACGTGATTCGGCAATTGCCTACGTCCACGGGAGAGGTATCCACTATAGAATTATTCCGGAGGGAGATTACAGAACTCACACCTCACAACTCTATAGAACTCTCTCACTCACAGATTATAATCTCCTAAGTGTATTCTTTGCTCAGTGTGTCACTCCCATATATCTCTATACAACCCCTCCTCACTCATCTCAATTTATAACCAAGAGAAGAGGAGCAGGTGAAATGACAGCCATGAGCGGGCTTGGTTGTGCCACCCTCCCCATCTACCTTTGGTGAGTTGGTATTGCCCCACTAGCTTTCTTTACCACATGGTGCCACCCATACCATGTGGATGGTGGGCTCCTTACCATCTGGGTAGTGGATGGAGCTAACAATTCTTCCCCTCCACGCCCACATGGACAACTAACTTCTCACTTGAAGTCCATCCCGGTCAGATGCTTGCAAACTTCCAGTTTGTCTCTGGTGACACCCTTGGTCATCATGTCAGAAGGATTCTTGTCTGTGTGAATCTTCATTAGCTTCATCAGTTGCTTTTCCATCACTTCTTGTATCCAATGATACCAGACATCAATGTGTTTTGTACATGAATGGTACATGAAATTCTTGCTCAAATCAATTCCACTTTGACTATCACAATGTACCTTATACTCTTCCTGCTGTAGGCCCAATTCTTGGAGAAACCGTTTTAACCACAACATTTCCTTTCCAGCATCTGCGGCAGCAATGTACTTTACCTCTGTTGTAGATAAAGTAACACACTTTTGTAGTTTGGACTGCCATGAAACAGCTCCCCCTACAAAGGTGAACATAAATCCTGATGTAGACTTTCTACCATCAAGATCACCTGCCATATCAACATCTGTAAAACCCTCCAAAATTGGTTCAGCTCCCCCGAAACATAAACCCATCTTTGAAGTTCCTTTCAAGTACCGAAGAATCCATTTGGCCGCCTCCCAATGCTCCTTTCCTGGATTGGCGAGGAATCTGTTCACAACACCAATTGCGTGAGCTATATCTGGCCAGGTACACACCATTGCATACATCAAACTTCCTACTGCGGAAAAATAAGAGATTGTCTCAATTTCTTTCCTTGCAGAGCTGGTCGTGGGACACGAACGCTTTGGCACATTGAAATGGTTGGCCAGTGGTGTGCTGACTGGCTTGGCATCTTTCATGTTGAACCTTTCAATTACCCGTTCAACATATTTCTCCTGTGACAACCATATTTTCTTGGTTTTCCTGTCACAACAATCTTCATGCCCAAAATTTGTTGGGCTGGGCCTAAATTCTTCATGTCAAAATACTGTGACAAGTCCTTATTCAACTTGTTGATCATAGTAGTAACCTGTCCGATGATCAGCCTATCATGGACATACAACAGTAGGATAATGAAGTTTCCATCTGAAAACCTTCGAAAATATACACACTGGTCTGCCACTGTTCTTGTGTACTCGTGATCCACCATAAATGAATCAAACTTCTTGTACCATTGTCTCGGCGCCTGTTTCAGGCCGTAGAGACTCTTTTTCAGTTTGTAGACTAGTTTCTGTTTTCCTTTAACTTCAAATCCTTCTGGTTGCTCCATGTAGATCTCTTCCTCCAACTCACCATGGAGAAAGACAGTCTTGACATCCATTTGTTCTACTTCCAGATTCAAGCGAGCTGCTAATCCTAGAGCTACTCGAATAGAAGTCATCTTCACAACTGGGGAGAAGATCTCATCAAAATCAATTCCTTTCTTCTGCTCAAAGCCTTTGACCACCAAACGAGCTTTATGCTGCAATAGTTTACCGTTTCTATCTTTCTTCAACTTATACACCCATTTGTTCTTCAAGGCTCTCCTGTCTCTTGGAAGTGGAACAAGCTCATAAGTGTGGTTCTTCTACAAAGAACTCATTTCCTCCTTCATGGCTTGCGTCCAACAGTTTTTCTCTGTATGACTCTTGGCTTCTGAAAAACTCTCGAGCTCCCCCTCACCAGTAATCAGAATATACTGAGAAGCGAGATATTTGGTTGATGGCATGACAGCTCTTCTAGATCTCCGCAACTGAGGCCCAGTTGCCTCTGTTTGAGGGGGGTTGCTCCCTCTGCTCAACACCCTCTTCATCCGGGTCTTCATCTCTTTCTTTCTGATCCTCAATTTCTAGCATAGGGATCCTGCAACTCTGGAACTTCTTGTTGCACATCATCACATCTAGCATTTTGTGATGGCTCGGGAGATGGAAACAAGTCTGGAGTGATGACATCTCTAGACTTTGCAGATTTCTCAAAATCTGCTATTGTTTGGTCTTCTTGGAACATAACATCTCTGCTCCTAAACATCTTCTTGTTCACTGGGTTCCACACCTTGTACCCAAATGTTGTATCTGAATAGCCCACAAATATGCATGGAGTGGATTTGTCATCAAGCTTCTGTCTGTTTTCCTTGGAGATGTGTGCAAAGGCCTTATACCCGAAGACTCTCAAGTGAGAATATGATACCTTTCTTCTGGACCAGACTTCCTCAGGTATCGCAAAATTCAACGGGATTGAAGGCGACCTGTTAATGAGATAACAGGCTGTACGGGCGGCTTCAACCCAAAATGACTTTGGCAACTTTGCCATATTGAGCATACATCTGACTCTTTCCATAATAGTGCGGTTTATCCTTTCTGCCACACCATTGTGTTGTGGGGTACCGGGAACTGTTGTCTCGTGCCGGATACCTCTGTTGGCACAGTATGCTGCAAAAGCATTGGAAGTATACTCGCCTCCATTGTCTGTGCGAAGGCACTTCAACTTTTTCCCAATCTCTCTTTCTACCATTGCATGGAACTCCTGAAAGTGCTGAAATACCTCATCCTTTGTCTTTAAGAAATACACCCATAACTTCCTTGATGCATCATCAATGAAAATCAGAAAATACTTGCGGCTGCCATGTGACTCCACTTCGATTAGGCCACAAACATCCGAGTATACCATATTGAGCACTTCTGTTTTCCTCTTGCTCGTTGAATTGAAGAATACTCGATGTTGCTTACCATAAAGGCAATGATCACAGGACTTCAAGACACTCTCTTTGGATAAGGGTATCCTGGATTGCTTTGCCAATAGATGCAATTCCTTCTCACTCATATGAGCTAGTCTTCTATGCCATAAGTCCGGTGACTCCTTGTCTTCTACTGCATTAAGACTTTCCAGACAGATCTTCGTTTGAGTCTTATACAGTGTTGAAGACATCTCTCCTCTAGCGATTGTCAAAACTCCTCCTGTCAGCTTCCAACGGCGCTGTACTTATATAGCCCTGTCGGTCCAGGGCACTTCCGGAGATAAGATTGAGGCGCAAATCTGGAACATGCCTCACATCTTTGAGAACCAGCTTGTTCCCAACATTAGTTTGAATACTAATGTCTCCAATACCCAGAATCTTCGAATAGCTAGAATTCCTCATTTGAACAGTGCCAAAATCTCCAGTGTTGTACGAGCTGAAGAGTTCTCTGTGGAAAGTGGCGTGATAGGATGCAGCTGTGTCTATCACCTATTCTCTATAACTGTGGTCAGCCACATGAAGACAATCTTCCTCTTCACTAACTATAAGAAGTATTTCATCAATTGTTGTGGCTGTTGTGTTCTCATCTCCTTTTGACTT